TATCAAGCTGTACAGAGACATGGGGAGGGAACTAGCAAGCAACAACAAGACCTCTGAACGCAGCACGAGTAGGATAGCAAACACGTATACAGCACAGCAGCGTGGCTCTTGGGTAGGATATCAAGCTGTACAGAGACATGGGGAGGGAACTAGCAAGCAACAACAAGACCTCTGAACGCAGCACGAGTAGGATAGCAAACACGTATACAGCACAGCAGCTCGGCTCTTGGGTAAAATATCCAGCACTATAAAGACGTAGGGAGGGAACTATCAAGCAAAGAAGAGTTGCACGATCGAGAGTTTCAAAACCAATTCGTTCCGTGGTACGAACGCTATATTTTAACACACTATAACCTATTACCAACACTCACCACAATGATAATGCACACTGATAGTCAACACAAGTACAACTGTAAGGTTACGAGAAGAAATAATTTTAGAGATCAGCAAAAATAATAATAAATAGTTGCTAGGTAGGGGTGACAATAAAACATTTTTATTACAATGCTATGGATACTGATTGTGTATTTAATATCATTGATGTTTTGATAAAGTAAGCGGGCAGCTGATGTTTGGCCCAAGAGATGTAAAAACCCGCTCGGTCCCTAAATGACGATGATAGCTGGGCTGGCATGGACAGCAATACGTAGTGGCCGCCGATAAACGTTTGTGAAACGGCTAGAAACATCGTTGTGTTAAAAAATAACAATTCATTATCATAATATAAAATTGGAGGGTGTTTAACCGACAATACATCTACCACCAAAAATATTCCATCATGAAAAATGTGAGTCGTTGAAAACGGACCAAAATTTAACTGACAAGCTAGCCCGCCGTTGATTGTTTAATCACAGGGTATGGTTACGCTTGCATTCTAGGGATGGGAGTAGGGGTTCCTTAATTATCTCCAGTGCAAGAACATTCTCTCTTGCTGGCAAACGTAATTAAATTAGAAACGTTTCGCTGACTGGCAGACGCACAAGTAAGAGGAATAACAAGCGATTCAATTAATGTTTGGTGTTTGTAGAATGACGTTTAGGTGGGATGTAAAATATGAATGTATCCTGTCGAACTGTTAGCAACACGTACAGTTAAATCACGTTAAATGCAAACGTGTGTGATACGCGTTTGTCAAACATAGTGGTTGGGAGTTCAAAAAAATATTAGAAAACTTTGTTATAAGTATAGTTTTGCTTTCACGGCAATTAATGGGTTTTAAAATTTCCATGGCATGAGCTCAACATAGTGATTTGAAAGTTCAAAAATATTTTATGATATGAAAAAGGTAACAGCTACCCTAAGACATTCATTTACCTAACACATTTTTGATTAGGAAAAAATAATTTATTTTTACGTAAATTTAAGTAGCTACCTAATTAAATAAAAAAAAACACATAATCACATTTAAGACATGTACACTACTTTAAGTGGCATAAATTAACTAAAACCACCAATGAATAACAACAAATATTTACCTAGAATAAACATAATCCTATATTAATAAATAAGCATTCATTTAAAAAATATCACATTACAGATAAAGAGGTAATCAATTTTTTTCAAATGCATTTTTTTTGCCGATGCAAGACAGAGAAGTTTCAAGCAGACGACAAGGTGGGAGTAACTGAGTTTACCGCGCTCTCCAATCAGTTTGCGCGGGAAAATGATGATGTAATAAGAGCCAGGGTTGTCAGCTTCTTCGTCTTCCACGTAACTTGTATAATATGGGCTGTCGTCCCTACAATAAGGGCAACTTTATAAGGTGTATGTGTATATCTTCATGCATTCTATGATTCTGTCACATATCTTGAAGGTGTTTTGTATATTTTTACCCCAGTTTTTTTTTCTTTTTGTTTTAAATTAAGTTTGTCTACAAAAGCTTTCCTAATAGTTGTCTTTGTTTTTTCTAAATAAGAATGTAATATGAAGAAAGAAAAGGCTTGAGTAAAATAAGATTAAAATATAATGTTAACAAACGAAATATCCTCTTTAAATATAACATTTTGATCCAGTCGCTTATTAAATACTACATTGATGTCCCCATTATAACATAATGCATAAGGATTTACGTAATTTTTTCCTGCTAATACAAAATATTTGATCATTTAGGATGGTAACGTTTTTATGGAATCTGTAATATAGTCGATAGTAAGGAACATTTTAAATGTGCCTGGATAAAAATAAAAAATTTAAAAGTGAACAATTAATACCTACATGTTTGATAAATCTTCAGAAGAAATAAAACAAGCTTCCACCACTTCACTATTATTCTGATCCTTAAAATGATTAAGTGAATTTATTATCAAATAAATATGGTATATATTTATTAAATATATTTAAGAATCATATAAAACACTAATTACTACACTAAATACCAAACTAAACGATATTCTAGTAGTATAATTTAAAAGAATTTACTATGGCTGTTATAAATGTGACGTATATTAAGTAGGACAGCAATACGAAAACTTTAAAGGGAGAGAATAAACATCACACTTTTCATCACGAAATGAGTGATATATACACCGTGTCCCAAAAAAACTGAACATTTTTAAATTGTTATATAATACGTCTAGGGATACCTAGTCTACTTTGAAGGTGATCATATGATAACTGAGCTCATAAAGTTTTGTTCAATATCAATTGTAACTATCAGCTGATTCATTGTTGTCGCTTGAAACTTGAAATTTAAAAACATTGTCCTGTCATTAAGCAGGCACCATGAACGCACGAGAGAAAGTGCAATGCGTTGAGTGGTACATTCAAAGTAAGTCAGATATTGCAGTGCAAAGAACATTTAGAAGACGGTATGGTCGACGTCCTCCATCACGGAACAGCATTCGAGCCTGGTATGACAAATTTATCTTAACATTTACAAGGCTTCAGCTTACAACATTTAAAAGGTAAAGGTAGGCCGATAATCCTAAATGAATTGATTGAAAACGTGTAACAATTATTTCTTCACGACCCTCGAAAAGAGACCCTCCTGTTCGCTGTGCAGCATGTGAGTTAAATTTGTCAAAATTATAAGTTTATAAAACAGAAGTTTCCTATGTCTGAGAATTAAGGCAAAGAATAAATGCTGCCTTTACTAACATTACTGACGAAATGCGCCATAGAGTGTGGGCTGAATTGGACAGCCGTATTGTCTATCTTTTTGCCTACATTGGCAACCATGTTGAAAATCATTAACACATGTGATATCAAACAAAACTTAGGAATATTTGTGTCAGTTAAAATGTAATTAGTTTATCGTGTGATTGTTAATAAACTTTTTATAAGTAAATAAAATTGTTCAGTTTATTTTTGGACATGGTGTACTATGTATAAAATAAAGTAAATATCACTATATGCTATATACTATCTTCTATTATAGCAAGAGAACGCACTCCGATCTCGGACGTTTCGTTGTTATTGCACATAAAGACCGCCATTCCACCTTAGACCGGCCGTTTCAGTAAGACATCGTCTGTATTATTTTTGCTGTTGTCTCAGTAATGTGTTGTCTGAAAAATGATAACTAAATATATTTAATTTATTTTATACCTATCCAATTCTATATGTTTTGAGTTTATTATAGTTTCTAGTTCTTCTTTATAACGAAAAGAAGAAACTTTTTGAGGAAACACTTTTCTTGGAAAAGATTAAATATTTCTAGAGATTTCTATTCATTAGCCTTTATTATTAGACCTCTGATAAAAAAATTATTGTATCGGATTCAAATAAAAACGCACGACATAAAACATAGTAAATTAGGTAATACAAAAAAAGTCATTTTCGTGTTAAAATGTAATGCTGGTCCACGCAAGGAATATTATAGAGTTTATTATTTCCAATTTCCGACATAAATGTAAATAAGTTCAACTTCCCCACACAATGCCCGCCTACCTGTGATGAGAACCCAACAATGCTGACTACACGAGAGCTGTGCCTTTGATCATCATATTGCTGCTGTGATGAGTTCAAATCCTCTCTTTTACATGCAAATCATAACTACCCTTCGGTTTATCATACCGATGATAACGTTTCAAAGGGTTGAAATTAAAATTAAATATGTGTTAGGAGTAGTTTAAAACGAATAAATGTTTATGTTAACAGGGTGCAACTTTAAAATGCAAAATTATGTAATTAAATACAGTATATTTGTGTGTAGCTTTAATTTTATTTAATAAAAAAGAGTGTGATAACAATTTTCAATTAGTATGTCCATGGTTGATCCAGTGAGACATAGTTCTCTTAACTCTTGCTAGCCACAATGCTCATGTCAAACACAGAAGCTGTTACCCATATGTCCGAAGCAAATGTGGACGGTCAAATGAAACGTCTTTAAAAACATACTAGAATTTACGTGATGATTTAAAACAAATCCAAAGTAACAAACGACTACGTTTACCTATACATACGCACTTGTTTCAATATTTAACTTGCCTACAACATAGGGTGATTCTCCACTTATATAATAACACAGTAGTTAAATAGTATAACACAATTCGCACTACACAACATTCGCACTATTAAATAGTTTATGTTCAAGCAAACTCAGCACAGCATGTTGTGAGCTCATAACATAACTCAAGAGAACCAATTATCATTGGCAAGCTACTAAAGCAGTGTACAGACTCGGATACAACAGATAGCGACGAGTTGCGTTTATAGTCTTAGTTTAATTGGTCACGTAGCGAAGCTGTATTTGCAATATCGGAATGTAATCGCTGCAATGTGTTGCAGTTTACTATGCCAGTGCTATTAGTCATGCTAAGTTTATTTATTATTATTATTTTTTTTGTTACGTTCTTTAATTGTATCGTAAATGCAAATCCTACTAGAATGCCGAGAGTACTGTAAATAAATAAGGAAACTAGTTACATCCTTCCAGTGAAGGGTGTTTTTGGGTGAAGACAAATTTCAATTTCGGAGCATCAGCCAAGCAGAAAGTGGCTGATGTATCAGTGCTAATGCAATTATTGACTGCTAGTGAAGGAAAATAAGTACACGAACACTGATCTCTTTTAACTTTAATATAATTAATTAAGTTAACTATAATGTCTGAATAAATTATGCGTCACATTGTAATGTTTAATAATTTGTTGATAGTTATAAAACAATTGTATTTCCATTAAAAATTATTAATTTGATAAATTAATAATATTAACATGATTAAAATGCAATTTTCCCTTGCAAATACACCTCTCTCTTGTAAAAAATTGTTATTTCATTGTAGGCTTTGAAATTCTATAGTTGCTCTAGTATTTCAAAGCTTAGATACTTCGTATTGATATATCGGCACCTTTTGATTTTGTTTTACAGGTGACGCTGATATTGTATGATACCAAAAAACATGTTTCCCTTAAAAACTCAGATTTAATAGTAAAATATACTTGGAATTAATATATATTACCTAGCTTAATCCATATTGATATATCAGCAAAGAACACCTCTGAACTGGTTATATCGGGAAGTATCAGAAATTGTCACCGAAGTTATGGGTTTTGATTCGCTTTTAAGTATTGTATAGTAATTCCGAGTTGTATTTTACAGTTGTATTATATATTTGTAATAGTCCCAGGAAAACTTTAGTCAGGATTACCTTCAAATTCACCTTTCAACCCACTATTTGATAAATCATCTGTAAAGTTAAAGTTCCGTTTTTCGCACGCTGTTGCTGACCGGGCCTATATAGCCCCGGTTGCTGACTCCAGTGACTCCCAGGGAAAAGGAAGTAATTTGAACGGTAGATACTAATGAGGCAGAGTACTGCTGGTGTGCCCTAAAAATAAGAGTAGTTAGTTGATACAAACTATCCATACTTAAAGTAATATTATTCTAGTGAAAGTCAAAGACACTACAATAACATGGAAATGGAATGATTTATGCAACTCAAAACAATACAATAACTAAAAAGTATACTGTGCCTTGGGTATGACGAAAATCAGTAAATATATTTACTGAGTAAATATATTTTTCATGTTTTCTTTGTTTTGATAAATATTTTCTTACATTGACACTTTGTGTTTTATGGTTTATGGTGATAGTCTAAAGTTTTTGTAACAAATAAATAACATGCATATCGTAAACAGGAAACTTTCTCTAGACATTACATGACTTTGATAGTGTTTGATTGACGTATAACAGTTCTCATTGCATTTTTCCTTTTATATTGTTACATAAGCCGTTTGCATTGTTTAACTCAAAGCATACAACAAAATTGTATAAATTTGTATGTACTAATTATGTTATCAATCACATCCAAATTTAGCTTTTAAATCACAATTGGGAAAGGCTATACTAAGTGCACGAAAAGATATACGCTTATGAAATATAATTATATTTGACTATTACAAGAATACTTACATCAAGTAATACAACGAATGCAGCTACAGCCACGAGAAAAGCTGACACAAAAGACATCTGTAATAAAAACATGTTTTAGAACATTACATAGCTCTGAATGTAATCAGTGCCAATATTAACTCTTATGAGGATTATCACTAAATATGTATAAATATATATTGAGAGAAGGTTTACCAGTAGACTCTATGTTATGATCTGGGTTTCTTTCACCATTTTTTTGGTTTTATTCAGCATTACGGTTATTTTTCATTCCATTGTTGAGTTTTATTTATTGTTGTTTTATTTTTTTATTTTTTAGTTTTATTTATTATTGATTGTTGAATTTAGTCTTATTACCACAATTAATTTTGTCAATAGATTCACTATCATAGTAGCACTATTATTTATACTGGGCGAACATCAACCCCAATTTAAAAAAAGTGTAATAAGCAAAGCTGGAAAACTACAGTCAACGGTTTAACAATATAATATTACCTTTTATAACAACTGCGAATATAAATTTGGTCATTATTAAAATTTTGAAACTTAAATTATTACACAAATATAAGTACGGTGAGCTTGAATAGCTCAAATAGTTGTTGCGTTTGAAGCATATGGACTATTATCGACATCAGTTAAAGTTTAATTATGGAGTCATATTAGTTTAATTTACATACACCCGATACGTAAGTAAGTTGTAAGTATAATATTTCAATATAGCCTCCTATATTTCATGATAAATATGAATTAAATATGCCTATTGTTTTTTAAGAGATAATATCCTTACATTTTAACCATTGCTGTGCAAGATATATTTGCCTCGAAATGTAATTTATATCTTAACTATTTAGGTTCTGAAATGTATACGTCCTTCCAACTCCTGTTTTTAACATTACATTGTTTCTATACAATCAATTAATAATAAACCCGATGAAAAATCTGTACGTTTATACCTTACGCCTATTAAATTCTACAACTAAGAGTTTTAATAAGACAAATAGCTTACCATTTTCCTGATCAATTTCTGTATAAGTCTGTTACGTTTAGTTGTAATCGAATATTAAATAGATAGTAAATATTAATAATGCCTTAATTAAAACAAACCGACACGTTAACTAGTTATGATTCTTACTTTTGACAAAAGACAATTAACAATGATCTGAACTTAAATATATGTCAACACATAAAGTAAATAATTAATGTTTTATGCACAACTTAGTTGAATAATGTTAATGTTATAATCTCAACGAAGGCGAAGAATAATTTATAATGCGATAAAATTATAATGTTTTTGCTGATAAATAATGCTTTGCTGAGTTTCATTAATATAGATTAAATAAAATTGTCTTTTGTCAAAAGTAAAAACCGCAACTAATTAATATTTAGGTCCAATTAATAATATTACACTATTACTTACCCTACTGATTTTAAATTTCTTTACTTAATAATACTTTAACTCTGGCATATCTTTCCTTGATTGGTACGCCATCCCAGTCCTCATACATTGATTGGCCAATCTCTAACCAACTCTTGTTCCGTGCAGGTCTATCAGAATATGATTCTGCCTGCTTGTCCCACAGTGATTGCTGGCCGTGGACATTTTCTATAAACTTGTCAACGTCAAACATTTCTAGTTGATTCAATACCACCGCACAACGCAACCGGATAGTGTGAACGCACCCACAAGACTGAATGTGTTTTTCGTCTTAGTCCGGTTGCATCGAACGTCCTGTCGTCCCACCACGCGGCAGCATCATCTGGTTGACAGTGCGTTGCGTTTTCTCTTCCGGTTTCAACCGGACAATGTGAACGCGCCAATTCAATACAATGTGTTGGCGTCTTCCGTCAAAAACGCCCCCGTTAAACGGGACCGTTGAAAACGGATAGTGTGAACCCGGCCTTAGAGCACAAGACCACCATTCCACCTCGGACCGGCCGTTTGAGTAAGACATCGTCTGTATTATTTTTACTGTTGTCTCAGTAACGTGTTGTCTGAAAAATGATAACTAAATATATTAAATTTATTTTATATTTATTTAACTTCTATATGATTTGAGTTTATTATAGTTTCCAGCCCCCCTTTATAACGAAAAGAAGGAAATTTTTTGGAAACACTTTTCTTGGAAAAGAATAATTATTTTCTTTCTAGGTATTTCTATTCATTAGCCTTCATCATTGGACCTCTGATAAAAAAATATAATGTAACGGATTCAACTACAAACGCACGACATAAAACAAAGTTGTACATGTAAGTGGTGGACGAGCTGCAGGTTTTTTTGGATAAGAAGACTTAATGCCCATTTGAACGTTTGGACCCCATTTTAACTCTAAACGTTCAAATCGTACAATTGATTGGCAATGATTGTACCTGGAGCTTTATAACATACATCTCTCTCCCTAACCCATTCAGCCAGAGGTACTCTTTTAGGGTTAATTACACAGAACACTACTAAAAAAGTCATTTTCGTGTTAAAATGTAATGCTGGTTCACGCAAGGAATATTATAGAGTTTAATATTTCCAATTTCCGACATGGATGCAAGTAAGTTCAACCCCGCCACACAATGCCCGCCTACCTGTGATGAGAACCCAACAATGCTGACTACACGAGAGCTGTGCCTTTGATCATCACATTGCTGCTGTGATGAGTTCAAATCCTCTCTTTCACATGCAAATCATAACCACCCTTCGGTTTATCATACCGATGATTACGTTTAAAATGGATGAAATTAAAATTAAATATGTGTTTAGGAGTAATTTAAAACAAATGTTTACAGTACGTTAACAGGGTGCAATTTTCAAATGCAAAATGTGTAATTAAATATATTGGTTTGTAGCTTTTTTTATTAATAATACCCCCACCGCAGTAAACCTGCCGACTAAGCGAATTTCGATTTTTCGGAATTGATTTTCAATTAAATCTATTTAAATAACATTAGGTTTAACGAGTCCCTAGGTTTGCTGCTACAAGGAAACTGTTAAAATGGGGTTTTTAGTAAAATATTAATAGTTTAGTATAAAATAAATAAATTTGCCAAGTTTTATCAAAATATATCCATAAACAGGCAAACTACAACATTTTACAATATTCTCCATAAGAATAACTTGGGAATTTTAAATTTACAATTTTTTTTTAATTTTCTCCGTTACCAATAACCATACAAAAACACTATGACATACAAAACTATTTGTTTTTTAAGCTATTTAAAAAGGTCTAGTGATAAATTGGGATATTTTGTGTTTTGAGGGTCAAAAATGCGAAAAACCATTTTTTTACTCCATAAAACCCCCCGTAAAACCCCGTTCCCATGGTCCGATCGTGCTGGTTCGCAAACTCATTCAAGTTTATCCCGCCTTAAACCTTTCAACCAAATTTCATCAAAATCGGACAAAAATTACACAAGTTATAGCGTTCACGGACGTATATATATATATACACATATAAAAATTTGAATGAATTGTGTTTTTGGCTTCTGGGGACATCAAAATGAAAAATAAATCGGTCCCGGGCCTAGGTCTTACCGTGCCACCTACGGTAATAGCTACTTCCCTATAGGGAAAATCGCTAAAAAAGAGTGTGGTAACAAACTTTTTCAATTAGTATGTCTTCTGTTGCCAGTATTCCTAATGATTTACCTCATTAGTATAAAAAACTATACATGTTTGTCCATCTACAACAGTGTAACTGTGTTTATAAAACGAATATTTGTATTCTTTTGACGAAAATAAAGTGAAAATGTGCATTATTAAGCACGAGGTCTGTATTAAAACGTTTAGCTTCTAACTTTACAATGCTTAAGGATCATGTCAATTTGTTATAAAATTAAAATATGTCATATGCTTGTATAAATTAAAGATTAAATAGAACTTGTAAGAGTTAACAACTAGCCCACTCAACTAATCATACTTAGTGAAACAATTAGAAACCGGCTGGCTGGTGTCGCTAGTGTTACATCTATATTTGGCTCATCGTCCCTTATACCTATAAAATTACAGCGTTATTAATGTTAATTTCACTCAATGATCTATTATTGTTTGTTTATGGAATTTGGGATTCCAATTTCAGCCTCACGGTAGAAATATTAAATTTTAATGTACCTTAAAACAGCATTATAAGGTAGCCAACGAATTAAACATTTTCAAAATGCAACTTACATTGTTCATAAATCTTTAAAACGGTGTTGGCAGTGAGAATCGTATTTAAACTGGCTTATGTAAGCATATATACTGATTGGATAAACATTGTTGTATCCTAAAATATATGTTATATTGGTTATGGTTCAATAGATTCTCATTTCACCAGCTACCTTTTGCTCGGCTGGCGTTGCCAAATTGAATAGCTTCTTACCATATGCAAAGTTTAAACACCCTGTTAATTCAAAGCTATTATTAGATAATAATACAACATTAAATTATTTAATATACACAATAGAATTAACTCTCCTATACATTTTATTGTTGTGTTAAATATGGCATAAATTATATTTTTTCGCTAGGGAACAACCCAAAGTCTGATCTTCTCAATCTAAAGTTTAATTTTGTTAAAAAAAGATTATTAATTGATAATATAACTACAATTGATATCCCAGATAAAACTAGAAGCTTCTGGAGTAAAATAATATAGGTAGCTTAAAACCCTACTTTTTCTTAGTTAACACTAAAGTATTTATGTTTTAATAGCATAATTTCAGTCATAGCACTTCTTTGTACTTTTACAATAATTTGACACAGGTAAGATAAAATCCTGTTAAGTTCATCCAGTGAGAAATAGTTCTCTTATATCTTGAGCCACAAAGCTCATGTCACATACAGAAACTGTTAAATCAGCGGTGTAAGTTGAATACTAACTCTGAATACAAATTTTAAGTGTAGCACTATAAAAGAAAACCCATATATTGTCTGAATGTAATATCATTGTAATCATGTACCATTACAGCTTTTTTCCGGTTTGACAAACAGTATATACCGTCACACTCTCTATCATTCAGTGTAGTGCAGTCTGGCACGCAATCATGGTCACCACATGTAGATAGTTATTATAACACACACCTGTATGGACCAATTTAGGGGAAATTGTGTGTTTTTAATCGTAGTTACGTGGAAACCATTATTATCCACAACTGGTCCAAAAACAGTTAGAGTACAGATTGGTGATTAGATAGTAACTTGACGCACTTTGTATTTATGGCAGTGATGTCGTGGGTACAGATCCTGGTACCTGCTACTAAATGTTAACAATAGATCAGTTAATGTACCAGCTCATCCTTTGCTTTGCTGGATAGCTCCACCCATATGTCCGAAGCAAATGTGGACGGGCAAATGCAACGTCTTTAAAAACATACTAGCATTTATGTGAAGATTTAAAACAAATCCAAAGTAACACAACACTTCGTTTACCTATATATACCGACTTGTTTCAATATTTAACTTGCCTACAACATAGGTTGATTCTCCACTTATATAATAACATAGTAGTTAAAATATTCGTATAGCACAATTAATTACATTCGCTCTATTTAATAGTTTATGTTCAAGCAAACTCAGCACAGCATGTTGTGAACTCATAACATAACTCAAGAGAACCAATTATCATTGGCAAGCTACTAAAGCAGTGTACAGACTCGGATACAACAGATAGCGACGAGTTGGGTTTCTAGTCTAAGTTTAATTGGTCACGTAGAGAAGCTGTATTTGCAGTATCGGAATGTAATCAATTGCTTCAATGTGTCACAGTATACTAATCCAGTGCTCTTAGTGATGTTACGTATTTTTAAAATTTTTTTTTTCATATCGTAAAGGCAAATCTTCCTAGAATGCCGAAAGTACTGTAAGTAAATAAGGAAACTAGTAACATCCTTCCAGTAAAGGGTGTTTTCGGGTGATGACAAATTTCAATGTCGGCGCATCAGCCAATCAGAAAGTCGCTGATGTATCAGTGCTATGTATAATGCAATTATTGACTGCTAGTTCTTGATTATTGATTAAGTTAACTATAATGTCTAAATAAAATATGCGTCACATTGCAATGTTTAATTATTTTGTTGATAGTTATAAAAAAAATTCATTGCCATTAAAAATCATTTATTATTAATATTAACAGGATTTAAAATGCAATTTTTACTTGCAAATACACCTCTCTCTTGTTAAAAAATGTTATTTAATTGTAGGCTTTGAAATTCTCTAGAGCAAGGCGGTATATTTCAAAGCATAGGTACTTCGTATTGATATATCGGCACCTTTTGATTTTGTTTTACAGGAGACACTGATATTGTATGATACAGTACCAAAAAACATGATTCTCTTCAAACTCAGATTTAATAGTAAAATATACTTGGAATTATAATATATTACCTAGCTTAATCCATATTGATATATCAGGAAAGAACACCTCTGCACTGGTTATACTGGGAAGTATCAGAAATTGTCACCGAAGCTATGGATTTTGTTTCTTTTTTAAATATTGCTTAATAAATCCGATATGTATTTTAGAGTTGTATTATATTATTGCAATAATCCCTGGAAAACTCTAGTCAGGATTCCCTTCAAATTCACCTTTCAAATCAATATTTTAAAAATCATCTGGAAAGTTAAAGTTCTTTTTTAAACATAGTAACACTTAAATTACCGTGATTTACAAATAAAAAATCGTGATATGGTAGATATTATTCTAAAAAAGAATGAATTTGTTTCCTGCACGCTGTCGCTGACTCCAAGGGTCAATGAGTTCACGAGGGTCGGGACCAACGAAGCAGAGTACTGCTGGTGTGCCCTAAAAATAAGAGTAGTTAGTTGATACAAACTATCCATACTTAAAATAATATTAATCTAGTGAAAATGAAAGACACTACAATAATATGAAAATGGCATAATTTATTGCAACTCAAAACAACACAATAACTAAAAAGTATACTTTGCATTGGGTATGACGAAAATCAGTAAATATATTTGTGATGTTTTCTTTGTTTTGATAAATATTTTCTTCCGTTGACACTTTGTGTTTTATGGTTTATGATGGTCTAAAGTTTTTTAAACAAATAAATAACATGCATATCGTAAACAGGAAACTTTCTGTAGCCATTACATGACTTTGATAGTGTTTGACTGTCGTATAATAGTCCTCATTGCATTTTTCCTTTTATATTGTTACATAAACCGTTTGCATTGTTTGGCCAAATTAACTCAAAGCATACAACAAAATTGTATAAATTTGTATGTACTAATTATTTAATCAATCACATCCAAATTTAGCTTTTAAATCACAATTGGGAAAGGCTATACTAAGTGATGGATAAGATAAACGCTTATGAAATAGAATTATATTTTACTATTACAAGAATACTTACATCAAGTAATACAACGAATGCAGCGACAGCCACAAGAAAAGCTGACACAAAAGACATCTGTAATAAAAACATGTTTTAGAAAATTACATAGCTCTGAATGTAATCAGTGGCGATATTAAAACTTATGAGGATTGTCACTAAATATGTAGAAATATATATTAATAGAAGCTTCACCATTAGACTCTATGTTATGATCTTGGTTTCTTTCAGCAGTTTTTTGTTTTATTCAGCATTAGGGTTATTTCATTCCATTGTTGAGTTAACAATATAAGATTACCTTTTATAACAACTGCAAACATATATATGGTCAATATGAAAATTTTGAAACCTAAAATATACAAATATAAGTACGGAGAGGTACAATAGTTATTGGATTTGAAGCATATGGACTATTATCGACATCAATGAAACTTAAAATATGGAGTCATGTTAGTTTAATTTACATACACCCGATACGTAAGTAAGTTTTAAGTATAATATTTCACTATAGCCTCCTATATTTCATGAAAAATATGAATTAAATAGGCCTATTATTTTTAAGAAATAATATCCTTACATTTTAACCATTGCTGTGCAATATATATTTGCCCTGAAATGTAATTTATATATTTTAACTATTTAGTTTCTGAAATTTATACGTATTTCCAACACTTTTGTTTTTATCATTCGGTTGTTTCTTTACTATCAATTAGTAACAAACCCGATAAAAAACCTGCCAGTTTAAACCTTACACTTATCAAATTCTACAACTATGAGTTTTAATAAAACAAATATCTTACCATTTCCCTGATGAATTTCTGTACAAGTCTGTTACGTTTAGTTGTAATTGAATAGTAAATATTATTTTATAGTGCCTTAATCAAAACTAAGTGAAATTTTAATTAGTTATGGTTCTTACTTTTGACAAAAGACAATTTACAATAATCTGATCATAAATATCTTTCTACACATAAAGTAAATAATTAATGTTTTATGTACAATTCAGTTGAGCAATTTTATAATCTGAACGTTTATGGTGGATGGATGTTTATGGTGATAAATACTGTTTTGCTGAGGGCATTAATATAGATTAAATTAAATTGTCTTTTGTCAAAAGTAAAAACCGGAACTAATTAATATTTCTGTCTAATTATTAATATTACAGTATTAAGTACACTACTTTTTTTACTAACCGTTGTTTAGTATTTAATGACACGTTAATGAGACAACCAAAGTACAGATATAAATAGTGAAACCACCACCGGAAATGGAACTTTTTCAAGAGGATGGAACTTTTTAGGTAGAGTATGGAGTGCCACAAGGCTCTTTACTTTGACCAATTTTGTTTAGTATCAATATCATGATCTACGATTAGTGTTGAGAGAACAGGCATTGATGGTCTTTTTTGCAGATGATCTTGGTCTAAAAATTGTCTATAGCTCAAAGCAGGCTATAGACAAACTTGATTCTAGGCTTTTAACACTACAGTATTGGTGTGCTGGTAACAATCTATCACTTAATACTGAAAAAGTGTATGGCATGTATTTTAGCTATAATACAAAATTTTCAAAACCTTAAGAAAGCACTGTTTTAAAGTTTTGAGGTCTTTGGTTGGATTCTCATTTGCCTTGAAACTTCCATGTAAATTTATTGCTAAGAGATTGTCCAAAGGTTTATATATGCTTAGAAGATTAAGACATAGTGTTAATAATTATGTATTGTTAAATGTTTACTATGTACAAATTCATAGTGTATTAACATATGGTAATGTTTTATGGGGAGCTAGTTCATATTGTAAAAAAACTGTCTATATTGCAAAAAAGAGTAATCAGGTTAGTTTGTAATGTCCCATATAGTCTTCTAAATCTTTATTTGTAAATTTACGGGTCTTAACGCTCTACTCTCTCTAAAAAAATCAACTCTCAATGTTATGACCACTCAAATTTTGACTTATTTAGTATTAATGCTGATTTTTAGTCTTGTAATACATAGAACACATTTAATTTAAAAGCTAAACATTACAAGTATAGTGCTTCACAGAAAAACTGGTTGTATATGTCAACCAAGCTCTATTAACTTATCACAAAAAAAATACAAAGTCACTGCCACAAACTAAATTTAAAAATAAAATAAAAAATGTACTGCTGAACGAACGACTCTATACAATTGAAAACTTTCTTTAATATATGCTGGATAATGTACAACTAAATCATACAATAAAATTTAATTTCAGTATCACTTGATGTTTATGTTATTCTATATAAAATATTTTTAGTAGTATACCGTTTGTTTACCTATTAAAATATTGTTGTTTATATAACTGTATGTATAAACATATGTATATATACAGGGTGGCTGGTCATCAGTGTTTGGCGTAAGTACAAAGTAAATGCAGTGTAATGATGCATATAAAAGGTTCCAAGTCCAAAAATTAGCTTCCCAAAGAATTATTTTATGTTTTTCAAAAATAACTATGTTTTCAAACTTATTACAGCTATTTCTCAATTACCCGTAAATGGATTTGAGTAGACAATGTCATTTTCGTGTTCTACATTAAATTTTGAATAAGAATAATAGAAAATGACGGAGGATCAGTTGTAAAAACCCCATTGTAAATAGATTCAAAAATAAAAATTAAGATGTTTCATAAAAATTTAAAAAACATTGGTCTATTGTATTTGTTCACACCCTGTATACAAGAAAGTGGCCGATTATGTTAAAAACTGCGCCATTTTATAAGCTTTCTAACCATATGCTACACTATTGAGGTTTAGATATTCTGTTGTTTGTTTTAGTGGTTTGAATACCAGAAAACAGGGAACTTTTTTACTGTTTTTACTGTTCAAGCTGAAACAAAAATACAACTTTTGCTTAATACATGCCGGCTATCTATGTTTTAAATGTTAAAGACACCCTGTTTTCGGGTATTCAAACCACTAAAACAAACAACAGAATATCTAAACCTCAATAGTGTAGCATATGGTTAGAAAGCTTATTAATGTTTTTAAAATTTTTATGAAACATCTTAATTTTAATTTTTGAATCTATTTACAATGGGGTTTTTACAACTGATCCTCCGTCATTTTCTATTATTCTTATTCAAATTTTATGTAGAACACGAAAATGACATTGTCTACTCAAATCCATTTACCGGTAATTGAGAAATAGCTGTATTAAGTTTGAAAACATAGTTATTTTTGAAAAACTTAAAATAATTCTTTGGGAAGCTAATTTTTGGACTTGGGACCTTTTATATGCATCATTACACTGCATTTACTTTGTACTTACGCCAAACAATTTTGTAACACTGATGACCAGCCACCCTGTATATATGTGTGTGTATCAGTGTACATTATTTTCTTGTTTTACATTTAAGTTGAGACTACTGTCAATACACTGAATTTGATGTTCATGACAATAAATACATTCGTTTAAGCTCATTACAGAAATACTACGGGAATAATAGAGATGAGACTTCCTTACCTAATAATTAATCAAAGAAAATCCAGTACCATCTTGGCTAAAACATTATATTGATGGCAATACAGGGATGGGGGGATTGATTTGGTTGTGAAACGCAAAACTTAACTTTCTGTTTAAAATGGTTAGTGTTTATCACAAAGATAGTTATCATTGATAATTTATGATCCTGGTGATTTTTAAAATTGATATAAATATATAATGCTTTGCACGTACTATTCACATTTATTGAAATTGGAAAAGTTTACGGGAATCTTGCATTGATGAACAGTCAGTAAGAGTTGTTTTATTTTTAATTTGTTTATGGTAGGTGTGTGTTAGATGATACACGTTTTGCATGTAATATATAAAAAATAAAACACAAAAAATGTATGTAAAATAAGAACACGACCAAAAGCCAACGCAATTCCAAACACAACTCAACCCGTCATGAGCACAACGGGCAATTTTTATGCGCTGTAACAACAAAACTGCCCAAAAGCGTCATTACCGGGATATTGTCCCATAATTCACACCTATGGCGCTTCAAGACGTGTTTTGTCACCCAATATTTTTCCATTCCCCCCATTTTAAACGTACACTTCCTTTGACATTTTGGAGATTCTTTAAATCCACTAATTTATTTTTCATTTTCACTAATATATGAATTTGGACGGATGGTATTTTGACTTCCATGGCCCTCAACACAAAAAGTTAAACTAGTCCTGGTTCCGGGTTTACACCTTTGTTACAAAATTTATATTGTGAAATAATATAATTTTTCCAAATTCGAGTGCCTTAAACATTTAATTGGTAATTGACAAAGTTAAAAAGATTTGTCTTAGAAACTTATTATTATTAGTGTTGTAAAACAAATCTAAAAATTTAAAAATCATTTCATTTAACTTACAATTGCGATTTTGATTTGAATGTATGATTTGTTTGTAAAGGATGATATTTTATGAGTATAGGAATACAATTTTATCTAGAGAGTGATGGGAAAAGAGAATAAATTATACAGAGAGTAATGATAAATAGTTCGATGGACCAGGAGGTAAAATGTTGATGTATGAGAAAAATTCATAGAATATATGAGAGGGAAAATTTAATAGTATATTTCGTACCTAGGGCCGAAAATGAGGTTTTGCTGGCACGAGATAGTTTTTAAGTTCGAGACGAAGTCGAGGGTTACCACTTTACTAGTCAACACAAGTACAACTTTAAGGTTGTGTGAAGAAATAATTTGAGGAATCAGCTAAAATAATAATAAACAGTTGCTAGGTAGTGGTGACAAAAACAAGTCTATTGCAATGCTATGGATACTTGTGTATTTAATGTGCAATAATGTTTTAAGTAAGTAAGCGAACAGTTGATTTTGTGGCCCTAGGGATGTAAAAACCTGTTCGGTCCCCAAAACAACGATGACAGCTGGCATGGCCAGCAAAACGTAACTTTCAGCCACCAATTAACGTATGTAAAACAGCAAAAAAGATCATAGTGTGGTGAAAACACATTTTTTTTAGATTACAAGAGTACAAAACACACTTTTATTTACATTTTGATACATCATAAGTATTATAAATTTAATAAGTAAATATAATTGTAACACATGCTTTTTTAGGAAAAGAGTTAGTTGCGAATAAAAAAATAAAGAGTTAAATTATTGTTCAGAGTTACTGAACAATGTAATTAAAATAATGTTAAAAAGATATAACAGTTTCATAACAGACTCACTGGTTAAAACTAAATGTCTAAATTTTCAATAATGTAGATCTATTGACAACTCAGGGCCGTCAGAAAAGTCCAATTCAAGACTTCCATTGTTCTATATAAAAACGGATGCCAGTTGTGTTGTTGGCATTATTACCGGCATGTTTGTCTTTACGAAGCGAAATGTTTTGCATGACACAAAAACAAATCACATAAGATAATTCAAATAGATAGTAGGCTTTTGTAATTAAGTGTATAGAAATTTACAAATTTACAAAAAAATATTCAAATATAAAATGTGCCTATCTAATAATCATGATTCTCAGTTTGCAGTTGAGGAAAAAAGAGTAAACATAAGTTATAGCACGAAAACTATAAATACTGCATTGTGCTATATACAATGAAAATACAAAATGAAACAAAATATTGTTAATAAGCGAAATGATTTTACATTGTACATAAAAGAGCCCCTTCTCACGCCACTGCATAATACTTTAAATCCCTACCTTTCAAGAAAAGCTTAGTCGCTACTGTATATTAACTAAGACCGGTTCTCGTTCAATGTTTTGTGCCCGCTTTTAAATCGTGTCTGTTATTTATTTTGCTTGTACATTGACGTTTTTTGTTTAAAAGAAATATTCCGTACACATTATACTGTAAGTAGTAATTGAGAAAATCTACTTTTCAATTACTCAAAAATCCCTG